AGTAACATCACAAACATATTATTCACCTGAGTACACAACACCAGCGCAGAAAAAAATTCATATTACAAGAACACATTGGTATTGAAGGAACTAGATACTGTTCCGAAATATCACTTACTCGAACCGTCCTGACCGCGTAGCTCCGTTGGAAGAGCATTGGGCTGGTATTCCAAAGGTCGTAGGTTCGAATCCCGCCGTGGCCGGGCATATTTTTCAAGCTCGCCCGGTGTGGATATGCACTCAGAGTAACATCACAAACATATTATTCACCTGAGTACACAACACCAGCACAGAAAAAAATCATATTACAAGAACACATTGGTATTGAAGGAACTAGATACTGTTCCGAAATATCACTTACTCGAACCGTCCTGACCGCGTAGCTCGGTTGGAAGAGCATTGGGCTGGTATTCCAAAGGTCGTAGGTTCGAATCCCACCGTGGCCGGGCATATTTTTCAAGCTCGCCCGGTGTGGATATGCACTCAGAGTAACATCACAAACATATCACAAACATATTATTCACCTGAGTACACAACACCAGCACAGAAAAAATTCATATTACAAGAACACATTGGTATTGAAGGAACTAGATACTGTTCCGAAATATCACTTACTCGAACCATCCTGACCGCGTAGCTCAGTTGGAAGAGCATTGGGCTAGTATTCCAAAGGTCGTAGGTTCGAATCCCACCGTGCCGGGCATATTTTTCAAGCTCGCCCGGTGTGGATATGCACTCAGAGTAACATCACAAACATATTATTCACCTGAGTACACAACACCAGCACAGAAAAAAAATTTCATATTACAAGAACACATTGGTATTGAAGGAACTAGATACTGCTCCGAAATATCACTTACTCGAACCGTCCTGACCGCGTAGCTCAGTTGGAAGAGCATTGGGCTAGTATTCCAAAGGTCGTAGGTTCGAATCCCACCGTGGCCGGGCATATTTTTCAAGCTCGCCGGTGTGGATATACACTCAGAATAACACCACAAATATCATATTACTTAATGTTTATTACTTAACTGTTTAACAATTCATATATTAATACGTTCAACGTACACTGTCCTGCCTTTGGAAGCATTCTTAATTAATATATTTCAATCATGCCTTACCTGCAGTCTACTAAATATTTTGTGGGCAAATTAATCAATATTAATTTGTAATTTATGGCTGTGCTCATATTGTAGGAGAGAGTCGTGAGCCGCACTGTCTTTAAATTATAATTTTTCCCGTGGGTCCCTAAAGGAAGACTATCCCATATTTGAAAAACACTGATTCTGAATTCATATATATTATGGGCATAGATTTGCGGCTGTGATTATATATTTTCACTATTGTAGGCTATATATTATTATATTCCTCAAACGTGTTTAATCTGTTGTAGTCTGTTGCGATTGACCAGTACTCAGTAGGACCTGTACGTGTTTATATATTTGATACATTGCGAAGAATTTAATAAACCGAACTTCTTAAACGACGTGAATAAATTGCATGTAATAATTCCCTGAAGCCACTACATGTAGGCCTATATATAAAATGCTAATCAGTATTAAACGACAAATATTAGTAGGTCCTATCCTATAGTATAGCGTTTATATATAAGTAGTTATAGCGCATTTACGCATCGTATACAAATGTTGATGATCTCTGTCTCCATCTGCACGAAATCACAATATACAGTATAGTATAATCATATAATACATTTTCGCATCGTTGTTCGAGACCATTCTACCGACGGACAATACGTATTTACCGACGGTGAATTGCCTTACCATCGGTACCGTCGGTACCGACGGACAACGTTTTTGAGGACTACCTGATACTCAACCTCGCACCCAGACTAACAAGAGAGAGCTTGGGTGCTTCATAACAGCCTGGATGCGGGGTTGCCTTATAATTACGTCATTCACCAACGGACTGTGCGTATTTACCGATGGTGGATTAATTTCTCCATCAGTACCGATGGACAATCTCTATTTACCGATGGTGAATTGGCTTACCATCGGTACCGACGGTACCGACGGACAGTCTTTTGGAGGGCTACCTTAGCCTCTCTCACTAAAGCTAACTACGTCATTCACCAACGGACTTTTCAAATTTACCGATGGTGAATTCATTTCTCCAACGGTACCGATGGACAATCTCTATTTACCGATGGTGAATTGGCTTACCATCGGTACCGACGGACAGTGTTTTGGAGGGTTACCTTAGCCTCTTTCACTAAAGCTAACTACGTCTTTCACCAACGGAATTTTCAAATTTACCGATGGTGAATTCATTTCTCCATCGGTACCGATGGACAATCTCTATTTCCCGATGGTGAATTGGCTTACCATCGGTACCGATGGTACCGACGGACAGTGTTTTGAAGGGCTACCTTATGCCATAGCAATATTGCTAACTACAGTACCTCATAGTATAATCATATAATACATTTTCGCATCGTTGTTCGAGACCATTCTACCGACGGACAATACGTATTTACCGACGGTGAATTGCCTTACCGTCGGTTCCGACGGACAACGTTTTTGAGGACTACCTGATACTCAACCTCGCACCCAGACTAACAAGAGAGAGCTTGGGTGCTTCATAACAGCCTGGATGCGGGGTTGCCTTATAATTACGTCATTCACCAACGGACTGTGCGTATTTACCGATGGTGGATTAATTTCTCCATCAGTACCGATGGACAATCTCTATTTACCGATGGTGAATTGGCTTACCATCGGTACCGACGGTACCGACGGACAGTCTTTTGGAGGGCTACCTTAGCCTCTCTCACTAAAGCTAACTACGTCATTCACCAACGGACTTTTCAAATTTACCGATGGTGAATTCATTTCTCCAACGGTACCGATGGACAATCTCTATTTACCGATGGTGAATTGGCTTACCATCGGTACCGACGGAACCGACGGACAGTGTTTTGGAGGGTTACCTTAGCCTCTCTCACTAAAGCTAACTACGTCTTTCACCAACAGAATTTTCAAATTTACCGATGGTGAATTCATTTCTCCATCGGTACCGATGGACAATCTCTATTTACCGACGGTGAATTGGCTTACCATCGGTACCGACGGTACCGACGGACAGTGTTTTGGGGGGCTACCTTAGCTTCTCTCACTAATGCTAACTACCTCATTCACCAACCGACTTTACAAATTTACCGATGGTGAATTCATTTCTCCATCGGTACCGATGGACAATCTTTAATTACCGATGGTGAATTGGCCTATCATCGGTACCGACGGGCAGTGTTTTGGAGGGCTACCTTAGCCTCTCTCACTAATGCTAACTACCTCATTCACCAACGAACTTTACAAATTTACCGATGGTGAATTCATTTCTCCATCGGTACCGATGGAGAATCTCTATTTACCGATGGTGAATTGGCTTACCGTCGGTACCGACGGTACCGACGGACAGTGTTTTAGTGGGCTACCTTAGCCTCTCTCACTAATGCTAACTACCTCATTCACCAACCGACTTTACAAATTTACTGATGGTGAATTCATTTCTCCATCGGTACCGATGGAGAATCTCTAAATACCGATGGTGAATTGGCCTACTATCGGTACCGACGGTACCGACGGACAGTGTTTTGGAGGGCTACCTTAGCCTCTCTCAGTAATGCTAACTACCTCATTCACCAACCGACTTTACAAATTTACCGATGGTGAATTCATTTCTCCATCGGTACCGATGGAGAATCTCTATTTACCGATGGTGAATTGGCTTACCATCGGTACCGACGGACAGTGTTTTGGATGGCTACCTTATGCCAACGCAATAATGCTAACTACCTCATTCACCAACGGATTTTACAAATTTACCGATGATGAATTCATTTCTCCATCGGTATTGATGGACAATCTGTATTTACCGATGGTGAATTGGCTTACCATCGGTACCGGTGAACATTCATTATTTACCGATGGTATATTCATTTTTCCATCGGTACGGATGGACACCGATGGTAGAAATCTTCTCACCAAACTAACCGTCGGTATGCTTGCTACAGTATTGGACAACCCTCCTCAAAAACAGGCTTTTCCTTCTTCACATCAAATCGTCTCGTCCGTTTCTGAGACCCTAGTGTGGTGGTTTAGGAAGGCATTTAACTTGTTTATTATACAGTACATGAATGATAATAATTCTATTGTTCATCGAATAGAAAACAGCATGTCATCCTTTTCTTTTCTACAATGTGTAGTAATCGATTTTTGTTTTGTCCTGTGGTCTAACGGCGTTGAAGAGCCACCAATCTTAGCTCATTAAGAATGGCCTGCATTGGTGTTTAAATATTTGGGTTTTCTACTTTCAGGAGCGTTTGTGTTGAATTTTAACCCAACAACCAGTGTATGGACGTCTCAAAGTACTTTAGCTTTCCTTGGTGATGAACTTGATTTAACAGAAGACAACAAAGATAATTGCAGGAACGCCTTCCATGTCCAGTTTCTTCATCAGGATGAACCCAGAGGAAGGTAAGTTGATGGAAACCTGTTAAATACCGAAATATATGTGAAGTATCGTCTACTAGATGGGAGTGCGTAGGTCATGGCCGATCATTAAAGAGGTACATTAACAGAGATTTCGTTTATCTCATATGAAACAGCTTTTAAATTTTGCTAAGTTCACTGAGCTGTCTTCCATTTCTTGGATTATTATCGATATGCATGCTCTGATATATGCGGAATCAGGCAAATGTTTCACTCGAATAGCGAATTGTCACAATGAGTCCAAAATTATACTTTGGCCACTATTTCTAGTAACAAATCGACAAACACCATTTAAAGCATGCATGTACTGTTAATGAGTGTTCCTGAATTGACTATCTTGGAGTAGTTTATTTGGCAAAATCCACTTTTTGCATCACCAAAACTACCATTAATGAAATCAAAAGATAGTCCAGATATTACATACAGTCCATTGTTTTCACTTCCCATATTTCACTTTCCCAAAAAAGAAAGAACTCGAGGCTAAGGGACAACAGTTTTATCGTAAGGATTTGAAGGTCATGTGCAGTAATGATGATTATTTTTTCCAACCACATTACTCAGGACAAGTTTTCCTCTGACGTATGGTGTTTTAGCTTTGTTAATTTCAGAAAGCAATCAAGCAGACGTAATGATGGAGTCGAGTGTGTTTTGTGTGAAAAATTAATTAACAAGTGCACGAAAATGCAGCATATAAACACTTCCAATGGACACATTTTTTCAGCTAGTTTAACTTCCTATATTTGATATATTTGTGTTTGACAGTGGTGTCAAGTAACGAAGTAAATGTACTTCGTTACTGTACTTGAGTACTATTTTTGAGAAGCCAGCATATAACAAAGTAAACTTTTTCCGGAGCACTTTTACTTGGAACGAAGTTGTTTTAAGAAGTAACGTTTTACTTCGTTATTTTCATTTTGTGGCGGAGTATTTCGTTATTTTCTAACTTTTGTTTAATTTTACGTGATTTATTCCTGATTTACTTTAATTTTGGGATAGGTAATAGGACCTGAACATGCGTTTGGGATTTATCGTTTATGTCTGACTTATAAGCTTTATTTATTTAATGGATTTTTTATATCTTCAATGAGGTCTGGATGGTAGGCCATGTCGTGAAATATTGTATATTAGGTGCACGCATAGAATGCGTTTTGTTGTCCAAAAGACAATAATAATTTTACTTTTACTTTTTACTTCAAGTATTTTTTATGATACTTTGTACTTTTACTTAAATACGTTTTGACTCGAGTACTTTTTACTCTTACTCAAGTCGTTTTATTGTTAATTAGGCTACTTCTAGTTTTACTCGAGTACAAATTCAAAGTAATTTAGCCACCACTGGTGTTTGGAAATATATCAAAATTTCTTATTGCTGATCTGTTCACATCAATCAAACAATAATTACTAGAACGTATGATTGTAAATACAAATAATTTTGCATCGAAGCGAAGCAGAGATGAATCATAATATTAGAAACTTTAATCTTTTTACTACCTTAACACCTTCTTGGTCATGTTTAGTTTCCTGCTTATACAAGTAACTGATCCCGTTACATAAATCCCCTATTTTCTTCGCAAATATTTTATTATTAATTCGACCTGGTTATTTCTTTTCAAGGTACGTGGGGAAAAGATATCGTAATGGGCGACATCACCATCCTGCGAGATATATGCAAGATGTTGTTTGTCAAATGATGGCGGGCTACTATGTCACAAAATTTAACGAGGCAATGCAAAATTACAAACGAGATATTCAAGTGCAGTTCCTACCAGCCGCCCATCTACAACTGCTAACTCCGTATGGTGACATGGAAGACTGCATCAATGTTGAGCCATACCTACATGGAGACTTCATAAAGCTCACCAATAATTTGTCTTGGGCTTATATGGAACACGACGGTAACGATTTGGCTACAGCATTGTCTCACTTCTCCTATTGCGAGTCAAAAGGAACAGTAATGATCGTAGATATCCAAGGCTGGTTACCGAGAGAAGGAAGTGGAATTATCTATCTTACTGATCCGCAATTTCACACTGTTGGTTTGGAGAAATTTAGTCCCTATGACTACCAAGAGGTGGGCATGAAGAAATTCTGGGAAGATGTTCATCCTCGTTGTAATGACATGTGTAGAGCTATTGGGCTGGAAAGGTCGCAGGAGTAAACTCCATGCTGTTAAAACAACTAGGACACCTCAACCTGGAAACGCGGCTGAGCCTTTCTTGAATCATTGAGTTATTTCAATAAACCATTTATAAGTAATGACTGGAAACCATTGATGTGAATTATGTATTTAGTTGAATGAAGAATATTGTAGTTCATTTGGTTAGTCAGAATTGCGAATAATACAAAAATAAAATTTAAATAATATATAGTGAAAGATGCGGTAAAGTCCGTTCTGCGCATATATTCTGCGCATCAAAACATTCCATCAGTGGGGGGGCAACCTTTGGAATGTCGTTAATATTTCGCACCTTCCAAACTTTCTTTAATTGAATCTCTAGTCTGTATTCATTTGCAAGCATAACGAACCAGAAATGTGTAAAAAATTCAGTATAATATATATCTAATCATATATTACAACTGTAGCACTGAGTTCAAAATGTAAACAAAGCGTTTGTTTACATTACGGACTTTACATTACCTTTAATATAATATTATATAGTATTTATAAATAATAAATTTTGTGTCAAAGAAGCCTGAAAAACTGAAGCCTAGGCTTATAACATTTAAGCTCCCTTGGAATTGCCATGGAAAATGTTGAGTTTACAATTTATACATAAGATTATTTTTAAAAATATTTATTATAAATCATTCAGTTGAGATCTCTGTGTGTATTTCAGACAGTAATAAGTTAACTAATCAACAATTTACAGTTTAAGTGCAGTATATTTTAGAAGTGGCATTTTTAATTGTGATTGAAACGATGAAAGATTAGCTTCTTGTTTTATATTGACACTCAAAGAATTCCAATAAACAGGACCCTTATAATTTATTGTATGCGATTTTAACGTTGGACGACATTGGTAAAGTCTTGAGGAGTTCTTGTTTCATATCATGATACAACCAGGCTTTTCCTACCCGACAATCGTAGAATTAACTGATGCATAACCGACGCAACGAACTGGTCTCCACTTATAGACACGCTAATTACTTCCTATACTTAAAAACTTTAAGTTGACGCTAATTTTTTCGAGACACTACTTAATGTACATGCTAATTGATCTGTATTTAAAGTAAGCATCCTTTGTCATCTGTACTTAACAATAAAAAGTAGTTGACATGATAGTATAATACCTTTGCATTATTTTAATTATTCCCTGAGCTCATTTAGATTGGTTTATGAAACCTTTTCTGTGGCCTATCCTGTGTGTTGCTCGTCATACAGTATGTATAAATAAGGAGAAGGCTCATCATTAGTGTGCCGACCCCATCGCCTTCAAAGTCAAAAATCTCCGCCCAAACTTGTCGCACATCAAATTCCCATCAGATCTTTTCACAAAGGTTTCTCTTTCTGATGAATATGGTTTGATCATAGCTTGGACAATTTTGTGACGAATGACCAAAATCTCTCTCAATTTTGGCTATTTGGACGTAACAGTAAATGGTGACCAATACCGCCTTACGCGGAGTGGGACAGCATCAAAGTGACGATTTAACGACGAATTTGATGCTGACCCTACCCGCATAAGGCGGTATTGTCACTTGTATTAGAGAGTTTAAGTTCGACTTCCAATACCAATACCAATGTTTTCACTTCCGTTCTCATTTTGGTACCGGGAATTTTAAAGCGTTAAGTTATCACGGCAGATGAAGTATAGAACACATTAATCGTCACCGAAAATGTGCGGTATACTAAACGGCAGCTGAGCTAAAATTCCGACTAAAACATGACACGGGCGATGCTAATAAACAAATAGTTTACATGTTTATCGTAAAAATTATGAAATATCCGATTTATATGAGTTTATCTTACAATTCCCCCGACTTCCAATGCAAGGCTGATTTCGGTAGTGGTGACTTCCAATACACAATCCTCGTGCTTCTTGCGAGCAGAGAGCATGCGCACGACATGTTAGTATCGGTATTGGTGTCGGAAGTCGAACTTAAACTCTCTATTGTTTACGTCACGTTCCCGATCATGCCCGAACAGTTCCAAGTATTATGTAAATGGCCGAAATTGAGAGAGATTTTGGCTCCGTTCGTCGTTACATTTGCCCAAGCTATGATCAAACCATATTTTTAGAAAGAGAAACATTTGTGAAAAGGTCTGATCGAATTTCTTTTGCCGTACAATAAGTTTGAGCGGAGATATTTGACTTTGAAGGCGATGCAGTCGGGCCGTTAGTGATGAGCCTTCTACTTATTTAAACATTTAAGGAGGAACACACGACATAGGCCACAGAAAAGATTTCATGGAGTAATTAAAGGAACGCAAAGGTATTGTACTATCATGCAGGGATGCCGGAACCACGGGTGCAGCGGGTGCAAGTGCACCCCTTGCCTTTTGCATTTTCAACTTTGTGGGTGCAGTACGGGTGCAGAATACGGGTGCAACGGGTGCACAAAGTGTCCTTTTTGCGTGAAAAATTTTCATTAAAATTGCATTTTTTGCGCCAAGGGCATTTTTGAAAAATTCAATCTATGTTTTTTCCGGAAAAATGTTTTAATTTCCGGAAAAAATAACATTTTCCGGAAAACTTTTCCGTATGTCCGGAAATTTTTTTCGTTTTTAGGAAAAATTGTGGTATGTCCGGAAAATTTTTTTTACCCCTAAAATGGTACACTGACCAAAAAATTTTTGGCGACGGGGGGGGAGGTCGCCAAAAATAATTTTTAGATGCCCTTTCATTTTCATTAGTGCCCTTTTGTTAAGCAATTGCACCCCTTGCCCCCAGCAACTTCCGGCATCCCTGCTATCATCTCAACTATATTTTATTGTTAAAGTGTAGTTATTTGACTAGTTTAAGAGTGTTTTGAGAATAGTTATTGTTGAGTATAGAATTTGTTTATAAAAGCTGTTTAAAACCCGCAACTCCTGATCATTCACTCAGAGATTTGGCCGCCTGTGACCATTAAGCTAAAATCGAAATTTAAATCTACCTTCCCCCCTGTTCAATGTTGTGAGGCTACAATCATTATCTTAACCATGGTTTTGTTTCTACCGTCTTTTCCCTAATTCTTAGGCATATAAATGAAACGGGGGGGGGGGGTGCTAAGCGATAATTCTGAGATTACTTATAAAACTGGTTATTACTGATTGCATTTTCGTACGACGTACATGTACACTACTTGGCACTCTTCGCAAAATAGCCTATTTTTAAGCTATATATATAGCTTCAGGATAACTTTAGGCCGTTTGCTGTGACCTTGAAAAGTGCCTAGGAAACGATTTTCGTAGTGCATGTCTTGGAACTGAAATATTCTTACGGGAACAACACTGTCAAACACGCTGAGTTCAAATCCGAAAAATTCCCGCTCCGCCCGTAGACCTTGCGTTTTCTCGCAAACTGCTATTTTGTTTTCACTAATTTCACGACTAACTTTTCTTTTGTTCAACGACACGGATGGATGATGACACACGAATGCATAACTCAAAATGACTAATTCCTATGACCCAGTCTCTACATTAAACAAAGGACCGTTTTGCTTGGATCATTTGGAGTTATGTAATTTTAAGCGCGTTGGACGTAAGCAACAAATCTTGTCTACAACTTTGGGAAGGTGCCGGTATCGCGTTCTAAAATTCTCAGTTTTGGCTCTATCTCTATAAAATCACAAGGACGTTGATGTTAAGTCTTTGGGCTATGTCTCTGGGCAACGAAAGAATTCCCTTGCACGTGATCAAAATTTTTATACCGCGATGTAAAACGGTAATCTTGTGTAATGGGTCAGCTTTCAAATTTTCAACACAGTTCTGAGACGTAATTCCAGAGGTAACTTATCATTGCATTTGAACTATTATATCAGTTGGTGTCATTCTGCGCGATAAGCGAATATTATTGGGAAAAGGGCTTCCATATTCGTTGAAATCACCAAATAAACAGCTCATGGACACATTTCTCTACTTCGCAAGTTTGCAGAGCAGATTTTACACTTCCGTACTGTTCTTTGTCTTTAATGTGTACATTTATTCTTCTAGTTTAATTAAGGTTATTTATGATTGATCCTGTCGTAAGTCTTCAACCAGCAACCCATCGACAATATTTCATGTTAGCGTTGTCTTTGCCGTTACGTTGGCTTCGCGTTACTGTTGTTTTAAATACCATGATTGCGTTAAACGAGTTATTTAACAGGCCAGTGACATAGCCAAAAGACTTGGTTAGATGGAAAACACGGAGTCGGAGTTCCGGAGTCGGAGCCCCGGAGTCGGAGTCCCGGAGTCGGAGTCCCGGAGTCTGACGTCATAAAAATATGGAAAACACGGAGTCATATGGAAAATACGGAGTCTGACGTCATAAAAATATGGAAAACACGGAGTCGTATGGAAAACACGGAGTCTGACGTCATAAAAATATGGAAAACACGGAGTCATATGGAAAACACGGAGTCTGACGTATTGTCAGCGTGAAATATGGAAAATAGTAATTAAATAATATATAATTTATGCGAATATAAACAAACGGACGAATTTATAATATAACGAATTGGAAATTTTCTGCACTAATTCTGGTATTTCTCTAAAATGTCGTGACAATATGGATTATTTATTTTTAAATACAATCAAGCAAATAATATTGTTTCTCTTGTCGTGTGACTTGTTCAGTTGTACAATATTTGAAGTGATTTTAATGCGGATTTTGTTCACCTCGCATGGTATGTTGATAAAAATATAGTTTATATACTTAATACTGCTAGAATATTTCATAGTCGATTTACATGTAATATTTATAACACAAAATCTTGACAGATATGCTGCTTGGAAACAGCGTTGTTATTTAGGCCACATAAAATAAATATAGAAATTTTGTATTTCATAAAGTATTACAATGCTTTTGAAAGGGATAATTTTAAGTGAAACCCACCTGTTGTGGACTTAAAATAAAATTGTGAACTGATGATGCAGAACCACTGGGATAGGGATAATGCTAGGAATACTGCTAGGAATACTGCTAGGGATACTGCTAGGGATTGTGGCGCACTAAATTTACTGTTTTCATAGATTTTTGTCGGGAAAGTACAAAACATGGACCCCCGGTCCATGGACCCCTTGTCTGGACCGGGTCCATGGACCCCCTTTATGGACCGGGTCCATGGACCCCCTCCATGGACCGGGTCCACGGACCTGCGATTCTTCAATGGCCCCATCTATGAATAATGTTGTCAGGAATTTTGAATACACCTGAATATAAATAACCCTGTACGGGGAGAAAACAATTAAATTTACTTGCAAGGTCAAAATGTTCTATTAATTTGTTCCAAATAACAAATACATCCAGCTAGCTAGTGCACAGCTCACAAAAATGTATTAATTGAAGCAAGTCAAATTGCTGATTATGAACAGTGCCTTTAGACCACTTTCATAAGAGACAAATTGAAACACTTTTTTGTATATTGAACCAAGAAGGCTAATTAAGATGCACAATCATGAATGAAAGTGGTTTATTATTTCAACACTTTGCTGGCAGTGGTTTCTTTAATTTCATAGGCTGTGATCATTGAACGGCTTTGCAAGTCAGTAACACTATTATTATTCACATGGTGCATTGATTTGTCATGATATGTCGTTAGCAAGCCTCGCTTTAGTATGAAGAAAACACTGGAGTGTAGATGAGGTTTGCTGCTAAGAACAAAAGTATGCTTTAAAACCACTAAAATATTTTTAAAAATTGAAAACTCGAATCATGTTTAACAGTAATATTGAAATTTGGAAAAATGCGGCCCATGGAGGGGGTCCATGGATCTGGTCCATGGAGCGGGGGTCCATGGACCCGGTCCAGACAAGGGGTCCATGGACCCGGTCCAGACAAGGGGTCCATGTTTTGTACTTTCCCATTTTTGTCCAAGCAATTAAGTTATAAAGAACAGAATAATAGTGTTGCCACATTCATGTAGTTCTATAGGCAAATGGTTGATTTGTCAAATATCTAGCTATTATGATTGTTTCATTATAAACACTGGAATGCTCATACTGCATGGATGGTTGTACAATAAGCAAAATTTGCCTTAGTAAAGTAAGCCACTAAAGCCAGTATCTCGGCTGGCTTGCATTACATTTATAATATAAACATCCCCTATAATCCTACTATAGTTGGAAAAAATTAAGAAGTAAATTTCCCTTCAATATATGCAATTTGTAGTTATAGTTGTATATATAGGCACAAAAATGGCTGAAATAGTTGAAAATTCAATAAAATGTCATTGTGTTGACATGAAAATATTCTACCAACTGTTTTTGTAGCCATAGGTGTTAATTTACACCATGCAATTAATGCTCAATATATCTTACATAGACAAGTCTATGCCACTACACCACTGCAAATCTACATTCATAGTTCATACGATTGAGCATCTCATGGTTTAAATTAACACCTATGGCTACAAAAACAGAATATTTTCATGTCAACACAATGACATTGTATTGAATTTTAAACTATTTCATCCATTTTTGTGCCTATATATACAACTAACTACAAATTGCATATATTGAAGTGAAATATATTTCATTCTAGATTTGTTTTACTTCTTAATTTTTTCCAACTATTGTAGGATTATAGGGGATGTTTTATATGTAATGCAAGCCAGCCTAGATACTGGCTTACTAAATTTACATATATAAGGCCTGTTTATATGGAAGCCGGGCTGGCCCGCTAAGGGAGACAGCCCGGTAAGCGAGATCTCGCTGTGTAGTTATTTTTATAGTAAAAATTATTGTGCGTTTATATGGACTCGCTTGAAAGAGGCGAGATCTCGCTTACCGGGATGGAAATTTCTCCATATAAACACTCACAAGCAGGCTAGGCTGGTTGCCGGGATGAAAGTTCAAAGATACTGCCGCAAGCTATTTTTAACAACTGTCAAAACAATACAATGTAACAAAATTGTCCCGGCAAGCGGGATGAAATTTTCTCATATAAACACGAGAGAAATTCATCCCGCTTACCGGGCTGTCTTGCTAAGCGGGCCAGCCCGGCTTCCATATAAACAGGCCCTAAGGCAAATTTTGCTTATTGTACAACCATCCAGTATGATCATTCCAGTATTTATAATGAAACAATCCATAATTGATATTTGACAAATCAACCATTTGCCTATAGCTACATGAATGTAGCAACACTATTATTCTGTTCTTTATAACTTAATTGCTTGGACAAAAATCTACGAAAACAGTAAATTTAGTGCCCCACAATCCCTAGCTACCAGTGGTTCTGCATCATCAGTTCACAATTTTACTTTTAAGTCCACAACAGGTGGGTTTCACTTAAAATTATCCCTTTCAAAAGCATTGTAATACTTTATGAAATACAAAATTTCTATATTAACCCTTCAATTATAAGTGGCAATATATGTGCCCAGATGTACCCTACTTTATATTTTACTCTGCCTAACGCCAGACGATTTTACAATGGTATCATGCAATTAAGCCTGGAACAAATGGTCAGTTATAAATACCTATCTTGATCACTCAAATATCAATGGCTTGATATATAAAAACCTAAAACTTATATGTTAGAGATATTAACTTGGTATGGACTTACCACTATAGTGCAGGTATTTTTTTTGGACACCTGAAAACTTTTTTAATGCCATTATTGGCTGGCTGCATCTATTTATTAGTAAATAACAATATTGCACGCTGTTTCCAAGCAGCATATCTGTTTTGTGTCAAGATTTTGTGTGCTATAAATATTACATGTAAATCGACTATGAAATATTCTAGCAGTATTACCAGGTGATCTCGTGTTCGTATTTTAGCCAATCAGCGCTCAGAAAGGGTTGTCCGAATAGAAATCCATTTTGATGTATTCAGTCAATTATATTTTTCGTTATTCTTTAGGAAACTAGTTGAAATTTTGTAATTATGTTTGGTTATGAGAACTATAGCTCTGACAAAAATATGGAATCGAAATAAAGTATATTACAGGAGATATTCAGTTGTTTTAATCACAAAATGGATTTCTATTTGACAACTAGTGCCAGTACTTTTCCGCGTATCAAGATCATCTGGTAAGTATATAAACTATATTTTTATCAACATACCAATGTGAGGTGAACAAAATCCGCATTAAAAATTTAAAATCACTTCAAATATTGTACAACTGAACAAGTCACACGACAAGAGAAACAATATTATTTGCTTGATTGTATTTAAAAATAAACAATCCATATTTTCACGACATTTTAGAGAAATACCAGAATTAGTGCAGAAAATTTCCAATTCGTTATATTATAAATTCGTCCGTTTGTTTATATTCGCATAAATTATATATTATTTAATTACTATTTTCCATATTTCACGCTGACAATACGTCAGACTCCGTGTTTTCCATATTTTTCTCTGACGTCAGACTCCGTTTTTTCCATATTTTATGGTGGACTCCGTGTTTTCCATATGACTCCGTGTTTTCCATATTTTTCTCTGACGTCAGACTCCGTGTTTTCCATATGACTCCGTGTTTTCCATATGACTCCGTGTTTTCCATATTTTTATGACGTCAGACTCCGTGTTTTCCATATGACTCCGTGTTTTCCATATTTTTCTCTGACGTCAGACTCCGTGTTTTCCATATGACTCCGTGTTTTCCATATTTTTATGACATCAGACTCCGGGACTCCGAGGCTCCGACTCCGGAACTCCGACTCCGTGTTTTCCATCTAACCGAAATTTAGAGCTATATGAAAGTTGCATGCCATATATGGCATGCAACAAAAACCCTAAGGAGCCTATCACCACGTCCCAGTCGCGTCGATCTCGAGAGATCGACGGCTAGAAATTTCATATCTTCGGTTCAGTGCATGCTATGAAGACAGAAATACCAGCATTCGATTCAGAAATAAAAGATACAACTAATTCCTCACTATAGTTATAGCCATTATCAACATTGTAGCGATTTATAGGCCTTTGAAGTCAAACATGAACATATTGTATCAAATTTATACGCAATTGTCTGAACAAAAATATAAACTAGCCATACCTTTCGCCGAAAATAACTTCGGCCCCTTCGAACATATCGTCTTTGTAATAGTCTTGTTCGAATCCCCATCAAAAACACTATTTAGAGTGTTATTTGCAAGCCTGTATCTCCAAATCTGTATCTTTTATCAATATATTTCCATTTCTTGTCCGACTGTGGCTCGAAGTGAGTTAATCCTAACCGGAAGTACGTCTGGGATCTTCGAGTTAAGCCCTTCGAGTTAAGCCCCTCGAGTTAAGCCCTTTTGGAGTTAAGCCCCGACCACGCCCTGTCTTGCCATGACCACGCCCTTTTTCAAAAAGGGCTTAAGGGGGTCTTCCACCCTAAAAATATAGGGTTTGCTCCAAAAATGATGTGAGCCAAACTAATTTACCGAGGATTTTAGAAACAGCTTTAATGGACACTTAATACATCGATCTATGACATGAACCTAAAAAAATATACAAGTAATATAATAAGGCCTTCATATTTTACTTTTTTTAAATTATATTAAGAAAGGAGTTCTTATAGGCTACTCTTGCAATGTATATTGCTGATATATGAAGTTTTTTAGGTCCATGACATGGCTATGTAACAAGCAAATAAAATCTGAAAATTTCGAACGAATTGATTCAGTATGAACAGTAGGAGAGTTTTTAGTATTTCGCAAAATGCTCATGTGAGAAAAGCGATTTTAAAGTTTTTGCATATATTAGAATAACTTAGATAGAACAATATAATTGAAAATGGAACTATAGACTAAACCAATCGCATATCTTTATCGCTCCGGGTAAAATCGTGGTTTTACCCTACGAAGGTGTAGAATTTGCTGGATTTCTCTGGTTTACGGTACATTTTCGTTCTTAAAATTACACGCATTTTATAAAGAACGCTATAAAGACTACATTTTTCTAAAAAAATAACGAATATTGGAAAATTTGGGTGGAAAACCACCTTAACTCGAAGAACGAAACACGATTTGGGTTATTCGAGTTAAGCCCCGGGGCTTAACTCGAAGTTTGACAAAAATGTTGTTGCTCGAGTTACGCCCCGACGTTTGCAGTATGTCAACGAGTGCAATGTTAAATTGTCAAATAGTTTCAATACAAAAAAGCCAAAGCACAGAAATTTTCCCAAAAAGAACTTATATATCGCTAATGTAATACGATTATAAAAAACAAACACAACTATTATCGTATTTTAGGTATATTTTAGGTTTTTCATATTAAATTAATATTAAATTTAACAACAGGTAATTACTTTTAGTGAATCGTTTATCCACAACAAAACAATATTTTAATTATAAAGTAGATAGAATCCTAACTCGTTCCTTTTGCTTCAATGTGCACAATACAAATTAACAGTTTTACTGTAACAGAAAAGGTGCAACCTTCTCCCATCACCTTGAACAAAACTAATCTATTAAGAAAATGATCGAAAATGACAGCACGAAAAACTAAAGAAAAAGGGAAATATTGTTAACGATAATAGTTGTGATTATTTTAGATAATCGTATTACATTAGCGATATACAAGTTCTTTTTGGGAAAATTTCTGTGCTTTGCCTTTGGCTTTTTTGTATTGAAAATTTGACAATTTAATATTGCACTCGTCGACGTACTTCAAAAGTCGAGGCTTAACTCGAGCAACAACTTTTTGTCAAACTTCGAGTCAAGCCCCGGGGCTTAACTCGAATCGTGTTTCGTTCTTCGAGTTAAGCCCTTCTGGAAAAAGGGCGTGGTCATGGCAAAACAGGGCGTGGTCGGGGCTTAACTCGAAAAGGGCTTAACTCGAAGATTCCCGACCTCAAAACCATCAAAACAATGCGACGTTTGTATCGTATGACCTTGGAAAGGCCAGAAATGGTTCTACAGGTCAAATTGCACCTACACGCGTGAGTTTGACGTCATTCCGGACACAGGAGCTTCTTATTGGCCAATTATTGCGCAATGTACGCAAGTGCGAGTAAAACCCACTGATCTGGTAAAACCCGACATTTTGAAAAATTCAAAATAAATATTTCTACTCGCCGTATTCAAACGAAATTTTGTACACGAAAGCGCTTGAATACAAAGAGTATTTACACATATAGCCGTTACGCAAATGACGAAGAGTTCAAGAGATATTCAAGATCTTGTGGATATGAAATCTAGAATCTATGGCCAAGCGGTGAGTAAATATATGATTGTTTCGGTTTGTGAAATGTTATGACGGCACTTGACCCCCCGTTCGAAATGTTATTTTGTGAGGATTTCAATGGTGGCTTTTATTTAAAAGGGGGGTAAATACTCGCCGAGATATTTATATTAGAAAAATTGTGTTGTAATCTGATGCGAAAGGGGGTGGTAGTTTTTATTATTATTTTATGATTTTTAAACACAGAAATCACTCGTGGCCACTCGTGTGTACTTTTAGACAAGATCCTAAAAGCCAACTAAAATTTATTTTTTTTACATATTTTCCGCATAAACCTCTATTATCAATAATTTTGAAAATCAAGATTAAAGTGGAAGTCAAGTCCGTATTGTAAACAAACGGTTTGTTTACATTTTGAACTGCTGTATTTTTTAAAATATGATGTACTGTCTGAATATCTAACACAATTTTGGTTCGCTATGCTTCTAAATGAATATGAAATAGAGTTTATGTTCAGAAAAATTCGAAACATTCGAAATTTGGGCAATGTTCACATTAGAGGCCCTCACATTGTTATGAGCAGAACCGATGCGCAGAACGGACTTGACTTCCACTTTAAGATATTACAATTTATATTTTAAAAATATTACCGAAACATTTAACAAATTACGGTACATTTCCTCGAAAGTAACTGAAAAATGGTAGGTCCGGAAATATTTTGAACTCCCCCCCCCCCCGGCAACAATTTTTGGGGAAAAAGATTAGACCCTAGCACGTCCCTGAATAGTATAACCACGCACTACTTGCGTGCTCATAAATCTTCAAAAAAGATACATAGATCCCGATAAAAACAAAGCAATCAATTATATTAACTGTATTGTATTGACTATTGTTAACTGTCTATACATAAGAATACATGGCGATTCAACATGCCATGGAACGATATGGATAATTGTATCCACCAAAAACTGGCATAGAAAGACAAGAGTCCATAATGCCAGCCTAGACCTAGGGCCCTCTATTTCTAATTCAGCCTATTCACATACGCTTCGTGACGCCATGAAGTAGATTAACCGGCAAATCAAGAGCAACTTGCCGAGTAAAGGCCCTACGTCTAGGCTAAGGCTTATTTATATTCAGGACAACGCTATTCACCAGGGTGATCCAAGTATTAAGAGTGTAGGAAAGCCGGATAGCGCTATCCAGCGGATACAGTGATTTTCAACCTTTGTAAAAATGCTTGGAAAGTTATAAAACACGGATATTGACCTCACAAATAATAATTTAAAAACAAATTTACATTAATTTATAAATACCAAAGTTTAATCTGAGTTATACTAATTCTAGTAAAACCACTATCCGGCGGATAGCGCCATCCGGCCTCTGTTTACACGAGGTTGGGTAACACTATCGATATAGGGGTATTCTGTCATTGTATAATATAACTCTTCCATAACCTGGTCACCTGAGTTGCTGTATTTGAAAATGGCTCCAAAGCGACAATTTGTATATGTTCGCCCTTGTTTGCTGCATTTCAACGTTGCGACTTGTGTTGTGGTCTTTTACTTCGTGCGAATAAAACGTGACGTTACAGTTGCGAGGTTGGTTGGGAATTTGGGAACTATAAACACGAGATCATCAAGTTGATTGGAAACCGGCCAATCAAATTCGGAAGTTTCGCATCAAATTATCGAAATTCGTTGTGAAATTCCAAACCAAGTTCGCAAGCAAGTTCGCAAATTGCAAACGATTTTGGCGGTCAATTTTAAAAACTAAACTTATTGTATTAAACTTATTCATTTAATAATAAATAATATCATAATGAATAATTTCAGGTTTAAAATTATAATAAGTTTAATACAATACGTTTAGTTTTTAAAATTGACCGCCAAAATCGTTTGCAATTTGCGAACTTGCTTGCGAACTTGGTTCGGAATTTCATAACGAATTTTGATAATTTGATGCGAAACTTCCGAATTTGATTGGCCGGTTTCCAATCAACTTGATTATCTCGTGTTTATAGTTCCCCAATTCCCAACCAAACTCGCAATTGGCGTGGCCAAAGTTTCGTGAAATCAACTGTAACTGTTAGGATAACTATACGTAACGTAACTTATATACCCCATCAGTTTGACAGCGTACCATATAGGTTCGAAATCACCTTATGCCACATGGAGAGCACAATGGGCGTCAATCTATCCCAAGAAGTGGGGGGTGACGGACTCCAAACTAGGAAGGTCAGGAGGTATGCTTTTAAATTTTGGTACACTGAAACGGCATTCCCAGCGTTTTGGAGGCACTTATAAAGTTATATTAAAATGTGCATGATCTTAAATCCATTTTTAACCATGTGAGAAATCCGCTAAAAACCAACATGCCCTAGCCTGTGAACAGACGTTACTCTCGACGAAGCGCGCGCTCGACGAGAGTAACGTCTGTTCACAGGCTAACATCTCCTCACCCTTATTTTAACGATAATAATCTATTAAATTAACCATTTGCCTTATTTTAACGATAATCATCTATTTAAGGGAAACTCAGTTAAAACGCAATTATTTTTAAGTATTTACAATTTTACATAACATATGCATGATGTCAGTATTTGCTCCCAGCGGCTACAGAAAGATCATACGTTGTACTTCTTATTATTAAATGTCTTCCTTTCAATCACAATTTTTGATGAATAGCATACCAGGCATTAGGGGCGCTTTCCATTTAATGGCCTGACCGGTCAGACACGAATTCTTTTCTCTGTATCAATGGGAAGATCTGGTCTATATTTCTCAAATATCTAAGGAAAATGGACCTCATTCTAATTTTATCTAAATGTTCCGGTCAGATAGCTCCGAAGCCCAAACGTTCTGTGCCCATTCAACAATTTGACCGTTCTGACCGGTCTGGCCGTGTTAGTGGAAAGCGCCCTAGCTTTTTAGATAACCAAGAAACAAAATTTCATTAAATATGTCAAAAAGTGTGTGTGTGTGTGTGTGTGTGTGAGGGGGGGGGGTAATTAGATATTCGTCCCCCCTCCAAAAAACTGGGGGGGGGACGCGTCCCCCCCCAGGATTGACGCCCATGGAGAGCACATGTACAATAAGGCAATCCGTTTACAAAAGTAACCGGGCCAGACCCTGCCGCCAGTAATCGTGTTTACACTACGACAGAGATGAATTTGAAGGGAATGCAGTGCGGGGGGCGGGACCCCTCCGAGGTAAGGCAAAGAGAGGAGCACCGCGATAATTTCCCTACGGATTTGGAAAGGCAATTAAAAAACAAATATAAAATAGATTATATTGCCTGGCTGCCATAGCTCACTATAGTAATTACGCACTTGAACCAATGTCGCACCCTGAAGCATGGCCAAAGCTCAATGAGCACCCCCATCCAACAGCCATCCCTGCACTACAAACATGTTAAGTGTGGCTCTGCCAATAGTCTTCTGTCTCTTCCAATGTGCTGTTTTTAATGTCTGCATGCCTTAATGTTGTTAATGTATGTATACGTTTGTATGTTTAGTTGGTAATTGCATATATGGTAATTGTAATCGTTAATATTGTTAAGTTGATATTAAACTTAATGTATTATAGTTGTTGTGGTTTCCAAGCCTGTTGAGGCAAAGTGTAATAAATAAATAAACATAGGCCTGGCGTTATCCAAGTTCTTGCATTAATGACTGGCTGACTAGTTTAATCAGTCAATTAGTGCAAGGAAAACCAAATTAGGCCAAAGTATTACCCGTACTCCATGCAAACAGGCCTTAACATAACTTACAAGCTACCAGTAAGAATTTGAGTCCAAAAAGAGAAGCCAAAGATGGCGGAAATTGACGTCCAGTGCCACTTTTTATTATTCTTGTCTGCGCAGTTAACGACCTTCATAGATTTTGGACGTCAACTTCCGCCATCTTGGTTTCACCTTCTCATAAGTCGAACGACTGCAGTTCTTACTCCAGATATGTATAAAGCTCACTGCCCAAAGCATAAACAAGCGCTAACTGACTTTGTCTATTAACAACTGCGTTTGTCAACATTTGGTATTAAAGTGTAAGAAAGTCTAACGTATAGTATAAACAATAGGATACCAGTGACATGGGGCGTATGTGGTAACTCAAGCGACAGATGGAATCAAACCGAAACATCACGTAGTTTGTTCATCATCTCCAACAAACTCTTTCGCTTTTTCCTTCGTAATAGCGTCAATATGACTCACTTTGTTTCTGAAGCGGACACCGTAGAATTTATCTGAAGCTTCGAGTAATTCCGCACGGAATGTTGTCGTAATAAACTGGGCTTTTTCAGATTGCTTTTTTATCATTTCTAAAAGAACCAAAATATTTTAATAACGATCCGCTGCTAAATCAGGGCAACTACAGCACAATTCTATCGCATCTAATGTACTTTTCTAATGTACTTTTCTGCTGCAATGGAATGGACTCCTGCCTATTTAAACCTGAACTTATTACGGAACCAGGGTCTATATACCTTATTTGCATGTGGTAAGAATGATCCATAACATGGACTACATATTTATAATTTAGCACCCCTAAAATATTTCTCAAAGTGTCTGCTACCCTAATTTTGATATCAGTGAGTTTGGCAACCAACAACGGCGACGGCAGAAAACAAAATTACTTCTCCCCAGGCGTAAGCCCGGGCGAAGGTACTAATCCCACCCACCTATTTACCCCAGGGGAAGGAAAGCATCAGCGAAGTCTAAAGTTCATCAATGATCGCGGGCGTGGGTTACCATGCGTGGTTGGTTATCACTGATCTCATAATATAGCGGACTGTCATGAATAGCGAACACTGATTGGTTTAATTTAAAATCAGCATTATAACGACTGCATAACGACAGCGAAATAGCAAACATTTCTTGATTTGATGTAAATTTGAAAAGCTTTTTCAAAAAAAAAGGCGAAATAATTGCTAAAAGGAGGGAATAAAGGTGTCGACGTTAACGGGGGTAGTTAAGCCCTCTGAATTAAGCCCTTTTCGAGTTAAGCCCCTGCCACGCCCTTTTTCGCCGGGGGCTTAACTCGAAGTCAATTAACGATTTAAGCATTCGAGTTAAGCCCCGACATTTGGTGGATGTAAACAAGTGACGCGTGTATACTCGCAAAAATATTGGCAAATATATGTTGTGACAGATTACGCAACATTACTTTTAAATTTTTTTTGTTATCGTAATACTTCATGTAATAATATTAGAAATATATGCAAGTTTCAAACATGGCGCCCAACGTCACGGCAATGCGTCTTTAGTTTATCGAAAAAGTTATGTTTTAGCGCTATGACCGACCAATTAGAAAGGAAAAAGGCTACCCGTCGTGGGAACAAAGCAGTTATAACGAAATACAGTAACGAAGCGAAGGAATTATTGGCAAATGGAGAAAATATCGACGAAAATACGAAGGATCGTTTAATTTAAACACGTTGCACGATCTTCTTGAGGAAAAATTACAAGTAGTAAAGAAATTCGACGAAGAAATCTTACAGTTGTGCGAAGTTAAAGAAATAGAAAACGAGATTGAAGTATCCGAGGATTTAAATTCACGAGTTCTTGATGTTAAAAGACAAATATCCAAGTTTTTTGCGAAGAAAATCGACGATACGGGAAAAGTACCTATTCCCGATATATCTATACCTGGTCAAAATACCCCGCAAGTAGATATTATTATTATTATTATTACTCATTTATATAGCGCCATTTCCTGTAGCTCAATGGCGCTTAACATTAAGTGTTAAAAATATATACTATATATAAGTACATGCATAATACTAAGGTTGGTAATACATACATTAACTATACTAAAAGTACTATATGTTCTTTTCATTATGAATATAAAATTACTTTATGCTATAAATGTTGACAATATTAAAACAAAACTATAAAAAATACTATAAAATTGGTAATACTCTTGTTAAAATAGTACTTAGTCATAACACTGTTTAAAAAGATGTGTCTTTAATCTAGTTTTAAAAATAGGCAAGGTCTCACTCTTTCTAACATGTTCTGGTAGTTCGTTCCACAGTTTCGGTGCCGCATATGAGAACGATCGTTCACCATAGTTAACCAATTTTACTGAGGGTATTGTGAGCAGTCCCTTGGATGAAGAGCGTAAATTTGCTGATGGTGTGTAAGGTTTTAGCATATTGTTAATGTAATGTGGAGCAGCACCATTCAGGGATTTATATGTAATAAGAACAATTTTATAGATGATGCGTTGACTAATGGGGAGCCAATGTAATTGTTTCATTAATGGAGTAACATGGTCGTATTTTCTGCTTCCTGTCACCAGACGAGCAGCACAGTTTTGCTCATTCTGTAACCGATCCATAAGAAATTTAGG